CAGACGAGAGAGAGAGAGAGAGAGAGAGAGAGAGAGAGAGAGAGAGAGAGTTTTGTGTTTGCTGAAGCCAACAACAGAGACCAAAATTTTCTTCATAATAAGAATGGCCATTGTTGAGTAATCTGGACTCTTGAACAACACATAATCACGAGTAGATTACAAATTAAAAACTCAGGTGAGCTTCCCAAAGCGGCCCCGTTTATCGACTTACCTTTTTGCACGACCCTTTATCTTCTGTTGTATGAGATCTTAAGCTAATACTGAATGCTGAGCTACAATGGGGGTATTTATAATCTCAACGGATGCGGAACTGCAAGGGGGAATGTTTACATGAAATAGAAATCACAGATCCCGCTTTTTAGCGTTAAAGTACCCATTGACGAATGTTGTAAAACTGAGATCAGGAAATGCGTTAGTTGTGCCATGGATGTGTTGTTTAATAGCATACCTCGCGCCATGCACAGAACACAATTTTGCAACTTTGATTTTTTCCAGGGATATATTCTCATTATAGAACAAAGACCCTCACCAAATTAATAAAGAGAAACTTCTATCTTCGGACCTGATTCAAAATTGCGGAAGTCAATCTCAGATGCCTTAGTGGCAAGTGAGTCTTCCCATTTTGTCTTCACGTTTTGTCTTCACATTTTGCCTGTCTTCGCGTTAAAAAGACATGAATTACGCCTACACTCAACATAACATGTGCACGGAGTAGGAGCCTAACTACACATCTTGGCCGTCTTCGTTCCAAATGTGCCCCCAAAATATGGCACAGGTGCTGAGCTACTGAATGTCCGGTTTTATTGACATTTGGCGTGCTCCCGATGTACCTAAGAAAAAATAAATAAATCAGAAAAAACGCGTTTTTATTCTCGATTTAAGGTATGAGTTTTGGTCTAGAATTATTTGAAGGGGGCGGGGGGGGGGGGCGTGGATGCGAAGCCGACCCCCCCCCCCCCCCCCCCCCACCTTTTGCGCAGGGTTCGGGGCCCCCCTTTTTTAGGGGG